AGGAGGAGGAGGAATTCACGTATATTGTGTATCAACAAACAACGAGCCCTGCGCTCGCAAGTATACAGTGGCCTCTTTTTGCAGACACCTTGATGGCGCTTGCAGTGTGTGCATCCCGAGGAGTACGCGTCCCCAGAGAGCAAAGATGTGTCTTAAACAATATTAGGAACGGGTGCATTTGGGACTTAATTGCCACCGAAAGTCAACCAACTACCAGGCTCATGATAGCAAATCGCGAGATCTTAAATTGAGTCCACTTAACTTAACAGCCTGTTCTCTGTTGGCTACGAGCGGATATGCTTTAAATCAAGCGCGAATAATCTTCACAAATGCAACTACATACTAGGGCTGGGGTATGGTTGTCTGATGGGGACTAACAAGTCAGAAACGGTCACTGCAATTCCCCTTTTCTCTACCTCGAATACTTTCCGACTACGTGATTTTTAGCCATCCTCTGGACTGTAGATCTAACACCATATGCAGTGCCGTTATACCCATCTGGCAGTGGTGATTGGAGTGGCATGACAGTTCGACCATCGATTCCGACGACGTCCACCGTGTGCTCCACAGCAGGGTGACGGCAGCTACAATGACTTTCGCGTGATTTCTTTTATGGTCATACTAGACTTGCACAGCATCTACCGCTCCCCCCCTCCCCCACCACCTGGGTCCGGTGTCAAAACCCACTCAGGGATACCAAAAGTAAAGGGAGAACACAGGTGGCTGGCGCGGCCGGAGCCGCCCCTAGACGTGTCGCCACGCCTAGCTCGAGTCCCACGGAGTGAGAGCGTGATAAAGACCACTCTGGGAGGGAGCCATTGCGGTCTGACTCTCAGACCACCGGTCGCCCGCCCCATACAAACACACACTGGGACGACTGCGAGGCCCCAGCTATCGTGTCAGTTGGCAACCTCCCAAGGCACGGCTTTTGGCGCACTGTGATAGCTTCAAGCGTGTCAGATTTTTTATAGTGAGAACAATGGCCCAGGTCATCGGCCTCACTTCCTATCCCCATTCCCAGGCCCCAGCCACTGCATGGCGTTGCATAGCGACCGTCTAAACGCACATACTCACGGGCTTGAAATAATTCTGACATCAGAGGAGGTCAGAAGACGAATATGCGATCACTGGAACACGAAATTTATTGGCCTGACGTTTCGGATTCTCACTCGAATCCATCAGCAGAGACAGTCGCAGATAAAGGTGATGGTGCACAAGGAGCGTAGTATTTATAGCACGTGGCTGCCGTGGGACCACAGGCGCACTGTAATTAACAGCTCTCGCAATCACCTCTGGGGTCATCATAGACGCGGTGATGGCTCGTCGGTCCGAGTTCGAGTCGTTAATGGCCGTGGTTTCGTCATCCGTGCTGGATGCTGGTGTGACGATTGCTCGGCAAATTGGCTCACTGTCACTGTGATAATTGCTCGCACGCGCCCTCCCCACGTGACTGATTCCCCTGTCCAGGGAAAATCTCGGCACGGAATATGGTATCGGAAGGTCATTGCGCTTGTTAATGGATTGCGGGCCTGATAACCATGACTCGAGCAACTCGCGGCTCACGCGGTTGTCACTCCTCGCGAGGATTTCGGCCTCTTGAAATTTGAAAATATGGCCGGGTCCCGTCGAATGTGCCGCCACCTGAGATCTAACGTCTCCCCGCCTCGCTGCTGCTGCATGCTCGGCAATACGCGTATGTAGTAAACTCCCAGCTTCTGCGACATAATTGCTTTGTCCGCAACTGCACCAGATCCGGTTCATGGATCGATTCGACTGGATGGATTCGAGTGGGAATCCGAAACGTCAGGCCAATAAATTTTTTGTTCCAGTGATCGCATCTTCGTCTTCTGAACTGCTATCTGGAACTCGCCTGTTCGCTTCTATCAGTAACCAGAGGAGGTGTAGGATACGGGCTTAATTTCCACTGCATCAGCTGCCTCGCGGATGGGGGCGGACACAGAGCTCAAAACGCCTAAAATGTT